CCCCGGGTACACGGACGGCGACGTGTCGAGAGATTTATCGCACCTGTATATTGCGAGGCCTCTTAATCGCCTGCAAAAGCCGCCGCGCGAGCTCTCGCGAAGCTCTCCCCGGCTGCCGCGGCTTTGTTCGCGCGAGTCCGCCAGCCGTGAACGGGATATTAAGGATATTAGATGCCTCGTGACAGAAGGATATTGTCAGCGCCGAGGAGCGTACGCCTGAAAGGAGCGCGCGCGCTGCCTCCTGTATATCGTGAAATTTTTCCACTCTTCTCCTCCATTTTCGTCATGCATTCGCGCAGATGAGCTTTTCGTGCGAATTACGAATTTATTAAACGTCCGGCGAGAGCGGTGCGCGAAAAGAAAAATGTCCGACCGGACGTTCGTTGCGCGGAAATATTAATGTGTCCTCTTCGCGTGTCCGATTTTCCGTTACATTGCGAACGTGCAATTTTCAGTCGCTCGTAACAATATCACCGGGAGACATAATACACACATATCGCGCGCGAGATCAGATTTCGCGTATCCTCCTTCAACTCAATACAATCTGATTCTCCGCGGGCGCCAGAATTTCACGTTTCGCTCCCTCCAGCTTTTCGGTGGACTCGAAATTTCTTCATCGCTGGCGAGACTGCGCGCGCGTGCGCAGTTGCCCGCGTCTCAATAAAGCAAATAAAAAGCGAAGCGGGATTTAACGTCGGACGTATTTTCCTCCCTTTGCCGCGCCGGGCAAGTTTCGCGTCGCGTCGCGTCGTGTCGCGCCGCGCCGCGCCGTAAATCGCTGCCCGATGCCGTTCGTCTTTTCGATGTATCGCCCGGAACGCAAGCGAGACGGTATCGATCCGCCGACGATTTCGCCGGAAACTCGACGGCCGTTACCCTCGATCGCCTTTATCAGCCGTTATAGCTACATCGCTTATCCGCCAATACCGCCGCAGTCTAAGCTAATTTTGCTGCCCCCTACGCGCCCCTTCGTTCGAACCCAACGATACCTGCTCGCCTGCCTTCCTGTTCGCCTCATCCCTTACCCCCTTACCCCGCCCCAACGTTTGCCCGCAACGCTCATTGGGAACTTTGAGACACGTCGTAAAAGTAATCCCAATTCATTTCCGCGGGATTGCCCGTGTCGCTCTTTTCTCTTCCCTACTGCCCCCCCCCTGGCCCGTTACACCGCTATCCGGCCCTCCGGCCGGCCGTCGATGCAAACAGTTAACGAGAAAAGTAATCCAATTTTGATCCGGCAACGGAGTAACGCGATCGAGACGCGCGCGGTTGCTTCTCGCGCTGCTGCTTGCGATTTTTCCATCGCTGGAGGTAAAAATACCGCGGGTCGAGTCTAGCTCTCTGCCTCCCTCCTTCTCTCTCTCTCTCTCTCTCTCTCCCTCTCTCTCTCTCTCTCTCTCTCTTTCTTTATTTCTCCCTTTCCTCCTGTTCCCAAGATGTCTCTTAATTCCATGATTCTTTTAATTCAGTAACTGATTAATTTGGCGATTAAAGCGCGCGTCGCCCGCTATTGACTCTTGCGTGCGCATAGGCGCGCGCACACACTCGTCGTGCCTTATTCCGTAATGGAAGGAACTTCACTGAGGCAAGAAAAATCAATCTCCCGCGGGAGGGGACCCGGCGAAGTAGAGCCAAGTCCCATAAGGAGCCCAGTTTCCGCGTGCTACCGGTTTATCCCCGACACTCGAGGGAAGATCGCGACGCCGACGACGAATTTGTATCGCGTGTGTGTGACGTATCGTGGCTCGGTCCCGCCGGGGGGTTAACTCGATTACGTGCGTCTCACAACACAATTTCAGTGATCCGACCCGTTGCCGTTCGCGATGGCGATAGTATGAGATCACGTTTAAGCCGCGATCTCGAGCAAACGGTCGCGGACAATTTCGTCAGTCGATGTCCGCTTTTTCCGGCGCAAGGCGCATGTTTGCGCAGAGTTGTCGAGCCCCCCCTCCCCTCCCGGATCGAGAGTGTGCAATTTTGGACCTCGCACTCCTAGGGGTGTTGGGCTAAAAATTTTCTATGAGAAACTCCTATTGCAAAATTGAACTTGGACAAAATAATAAGTAAAGTCACATTTCTTGGAAGACCTTGGAAGATGTCGCGTTGTTTGTCGTACCGTAAAGTTTGCTTTTACGGGGCCTTTGCATCTTCATTTGAAAATCGTACATTCTTGATTTAATGAATTCAAGTTTGGAGGCTGCAAAGAGACCGATTGAAACTTCCCGAGCAAAAAGTTGTTAGGACCATCCTCATGAAGCATGAGGCCCCGATAAGGCTGAAAGTAGGATGCCCTAAAAAGGGATGCATCATTATTGTCACATCAGACCCCGAGATGAATCTTTTAGGGATATTATCTTGGATTTTACGAAATAACCCGAGTAGAAATCAAATACGGCAATTTTTTATGCCTGACATGGTATGACTAGGCAAGTCATAAGAAGGCATTATAAGTGGACCTTATCCGGTCGGAATGTGGCAATTGTCTTACAATATTTTCCGGGTTATACCCTGACCAGCGATGACGTCATTATTTGGATGCCTGATTTGGTCCTGATGAACATTTGATCAGGTTTCTCGATTTCAGGCAATTTTATCAGGGCATTATACAGCAGTGCGTTTCACTCCTTATTACGTGCCGGATCCGATAAAGTTATCCGGGCCCTATTTGAAGTTTGGAAGCTGGATGAGGTTTTAATACGGCCGTGAGACGATGTTCTGCTCGGGAAGGCTTTGATAAGGAAAACTGATGAGGGCCTTAAAAGGATTTTTTAGGGATTCCTTAGATCTAATAAATAAAGCTTATTTGATAGAAAGAGAATTGATAAGGGCCTTAGAAGGATGTTTTAGAGATGCCTTAGATTTTACGAAATAACTCTTTAACATGGAGAACTGATATGGGCCTTAGAAGGATCTTTTAAGGGAGAATGCTTTAGATATACAAAATCAAGTTTTGTTATAGAAAATTAATAAGATCTGAGGCGTGTAATAAAATTGTTATAGTTTAGTATTGCTTCAGGTAGGTACGCTCTATTTGGTTCTTTTAAAGATTTTTTAATTATACCGCAATTAAAAACAAATTTTATTAGTTGCCATATTCATTTGTCTCTTCCAAGGATTTTTCTAACATTGCCTTTATTTGAAATGCAGCAAACTTTAATAAAAACAATAGCAGGGTTTTTATGTGTAAAGAATGCTATATTTTATGTAAAATATGCTATATTTTTAAAATAAAAAATTCTTGTTATATACTAATAAGATTATAAAGAAATAAAGAAATTACAGTTTAAATTTCTTGAAATGAAAGGAACGAATATTTTTACTTAAACAATAATAAAAATATTTCCTTATAAGGCCCTATTAATATTGCCTTATCAGGCCCTGTTGACATTGCCTTATAAGGTCCTCGTAATATTAATTATAAGTACCCATTAAACCATTTGTTACACATCTTGTAGAGCCCTTGTCTTTCTACCCCTGCTAGGGCCCGATTAATGTTAGAGAAAAATAATCAAGTCCTTACCAAAGCTCTATTAATTTTTCTGCTCGAGTCGTGGCGGTGAAAGCACGCCGCGTAAAATCATGTCGTCATTAAGCGGCCTCACGTCGCGGCGCACGCATCTTTCGCCGCGATTACACCGCTATTCATTGCTTTGCCGTCAACGGACTTGATTTCGGGCCGCCGCAAAGCCGCGAATAAATCGGCGCGCTCGGGAAAGCTAAGGTGATTAAAGCGATGACGAGTCCGGTAATTACTTTGGCGAGGTGTCGCGAGAAGGATTACGCCGGCGGTGTACAAGCGTGCGCGCGCGCGCGCGTGCGTGCGTCCATGCGTGCGTGCGTGCGTGCTTTTTAAACATACGCGCCTCCGTCACATTTATACCCGGCCTTTCCTGGAATGCCCTCGAGGAAGCCGCCCTTTTCATTGAACGGATCGTTTCATCCCTCCCTCGCTGCCAAAAACGCGCGCTCGTGCGCACGTTTTCGTGCCGACCTGCCCGAAACGGTAATCACGAAGTTGAAGTAGAGTCGCGCCCGGGGAACGCGAGGAGGAGGATGGGGTCAACGCGCCGGGAGGGGTAGCCGCCCGCGGGATGTTTCCTGTTTCGAGCCTAACAATGGCACTTTTCCCCGGAACGACTTTCATCACGCTTGAAGAGCGATTTTCATCCTCCTCCGTGCGATCTCGCCGGCTGCACGAGCGACGACGAATTTTAGCCATGTCCCGGGCCACGCTCGATTAACCCTTCCCTCTTAAACCCACCCACCCCATCCGTTCGTCATTCGATAGCAAAACGCGTCGTCGGTTTGCGGTGAGTTGATTAGTTACCACGGAGGATTACCGGTGCGCCCGAAGAGCTCCTTTGGCGATTCTCTCTTCCGAAAGGTGAAAATTTCGCGATTCGACCATCGTGATACCAATCGTTCTCTCTCGTTCGGAAAATCACGACGGGGAATAATTGAAGTCGCCCGCGAGGTCACAGCTGCGACTCGCAGACAGACGTGCGCTTGAAAATGACGAGGAGGAGAGCGAAATCGTTCCCGGAGCGAGTCGAAAGCGACTGCCGGTGACTGCGTCTCGAGCAAACATCGCGAGCGACGACGACGACGACGACGGCGGCGGGGACGCGGACGGCGGTGGCGAGCAAGAGCCGCTCGGAGCTAGCACAGTAATTTCCGCGCTTAATTTACCACTCGACACTCGCTAATGCAAACGTGCAAGCGCGCGGGGAGTCGCGCGTACACGCGCGCGACTGAGAGAAAGAGAGAGGGAAAGGGGAGGGAGGGAGGGAGGGGAGGGGAGAGCGAGTGAGAGAGAGAGAGAGAGAGAGAGAGAGAGAGAGAGAGAGAGAGAGAGCACAATGTCTCCGGCGGCTTAGCTCTTCAGCTCCGGCCGTGCTTTTGTGCACGTGGAGAGTCCGTTGTCTCTCTCTCTCTCTCTCTCTCTCTCTCTCTCTCTCTCTCTCTCTCTCTCTCTCTGGGATTCGCAAAACTAAATCGCATTTACCGGAAACTCCTCTCAAGCGAGCGAGCGAGCGGCGTCTTGCGCCGCCTGCAAGTACCAGCTCTTCAAACACACTCGAGAGCCGCCGTTCGGTATGTACGTAGCCTGAAAACATCGCGCTCGCCCCTGTTGTTCTCCCTTCAACCCTGCCCGTTGACTGGTGAGCGAAATTCACGTCTCGCGACCTCTCCTCTTCGGGATTCGGCTGAGCGACGCTCCGAAGGCACGGTGGGACAAAAGGCGACTTTTTCTCCCCCGTGTATTCCCTTGTAAAAAGCTCATTCAGCTTATTCCCTCCCGTCTCTCTTTCTCTTTCGTCTCCCTGAGACTAATCCGTCGGATTGTCCGTTTGCTTGCAGCGAAGGAACTGAAGGTATGCGGCAGCGCGAGCAGCGGCGGCGAGGTATGTTGCTCGGCCGACATGGAATTGAGACTGCAGGCGCGAGCGCGCGACAGCCACGAGAAGGCCACCAAAGAAACCCTCCACAAGCTGCATCAGATCCTGAGCAGCCGAGGAAACCGGTTCCACAGTGAGTATCCCACGTCGTTTCAGATTTCGTCGATGAGGAAAACCCCCGCTGCGTGGCACGCGGGGCGTTCCTTCCACTCGGCCGTTGGGAATAGCGCGATTAGCGGCGCATTTCGCCTTCGTCCGCTCGACGATTCGGATGAATGAACGGACGAGCGAATGAACGAGCGGGAACAAAGAGCGACGAAAGGAGGAACGAAAGAAGTCACTCGGTTTACTCGTTTAACGCCGGGATTAATGGAATTGAAGATTGAACCTCCGTGAATTTCCACTCCGACCGCGAAATATTCGCGCCGATCGGTCATTAAGGGATCTTCCGCTTCTCAAGAAATGCGGAAATTGAGGAAAGAGTATTTTTTATAAAAAATTTTTTTTTCCAATAGATGTGTGCGACTGCGTACGAATGGAGAAGATGAATTCGTGCGCGATGAAATGTATATCAATTTCAATTTTCAAATAGACTCACTGTAGAAACGCGGAATATCAAGAGAGGAAAATTCAGATCTCTGCCAGATACGAGGCGTATTATCCGTCTCTCGATCGAGAAAGAAAAAGAGAGAGGGAGAGGGAGAGGGAGAGAGAGAGAGAGAGAGAGAGAGAGAGAGAGAGAGAGAGAGAGAGAGAGAGAGAGAGAGAGAGCGAGCGAGACAGAGGAAAAGATCTCTTTCAGGAGACGCGGAAGAGGTGGAATTAAATTTTGTATTTAATTTAATAGTCGCGATTAGCAAGCTCCTCTCTCCTGTCCCCGATATAAACTCCAACGTAAACCGTTCTTCTGTTTTTCATCTCGCCATTTTATTCGCTTTACACCGGCGAAACTTTTTAATCGTCTTATTCAAATCCTTTTAATCCACTTATTCGAAAGTAACGCACTGTGCTCGTACATTCAGCATCCGGAAGCGAAGCCAATATTTCATAGTAGGAGACTCGAGAGTTTCCGCCGGGATCTCTCCCGGGAGGTTTTTCCTTTTATACGTTTGAACAAGTCCTTCCGAAGGGTCGCGCGAGATGCTTCTTTTGCGAGTACTTACGCGAGATTGATAAAATGCGGCTTCGAATATTCAGCGAAAGAGCACATGAAATCCTAACGGGAGCAGGATCTCTCGCAAGAGAGTAATCTATATCTTCGTTAAAATATTAAACGCGATTTATGCGTCCGTATGTCGCGTGTGTGCCGCCATATTCCATCGTAAATAACGAGAGAGACCCGCTTTTGAGAAGTGCGTTATATACACGGGGAGCGCTTGCTCAAGCACTTGTCGACGAAAGAATCGGCCGAAAACTTCGAGAGGAAAGCCCTCGAAACCGGCACAGAGGAAGGGTGGGGAGGAGGGGCAGATCCCCCCGCGGAGAGGGCGCCCGTCGTCTTTTATCTCCGCCGCACGCGCGACCCACCCTCGCGAGTGGCCGAGCAGTTTAATCGGCCGGACGTCACTCGGAAGATCACCCTCGGTGAACAATCGCCCTCTCGCCCGCCCGCCTGCCTACCCCTCGGGGCATTTCGCGCGAAACTTTTTAACCGACGTGCTCGAAACACAATGCTCGATCGAACACGCGCGTACACACACACACACATACTCACTCACTCACTCGTACACTCGTACGTCTTACTCGCGTCCCCCGCGAGTGGGCTTGTTGTGGCGGGAGGGCATGAGAGGGAGGGAGAATGAAACGCAAGATTTCAGGAGTAACGAGTGTGTGTTCGCCGCGGAAGTGGAGTTGACGACCTCTCGCTGGAGGCGCTCCTCCTCCAGAGAGGAGAGCGCGAGCTCGCGAGGTTTTTTCTAATTAAAGAGGAATCGCGCAGGAGTGCATCGCGTTCGCGCACGCATGTAGGCGGGCAGGCACGAGAAGAGGGTGTATCGCGCGCGCGCGCGCGCATGAGAGAGAGAGAGAGAGAGAGAGAGAGAGAGAGAGAAAGAGAGTCACACGCACGTGCTCTCTTGTGTCGCAGACGCCGTCGTCTTGTACGCGCGCTCGAGGAGGCACCTGGCATGCGAGGCGCTCTGGCTGTGCAAACGTATCGACGCGATTGTGTCGGCGCGTAGGAGAAGGATGAAAATATCGGGGGAAAATAATAACGAGCTGCGCGGGGATGCTTTTCTTTCGGGTCGCACGGGAGAGAGCGAGGACGAATCGAGTTGCGTCGATTACATCGACCGATGTAAACAGAAGAGCGAAGAGGAAAGGAAGAACGTGTCGCGCGCCGGAGGATGATTTTATCGCTGAGTGGCGCTATTCCGCGATATCCTTCGCGCGATTAACGTTAGGTCCCCGTGGACGAAAATTCAAAGTTGGAAGATTTTCCCCGGGAAAGATATCGATCTCTTCCGAGTTGAGTCGAGTCGAGGAGGGCGCGCGCGCGCGCTGCGAATAAAGACTGCCTTATTGATTTGTTATTTGGCGATTTATGGCGGCGAATTTGTCACGCCCGCTGGCGTCGCGAACGCTACAAGGGAGATCGCCAGGATATCTGCCGTCCCCACTCGTCCCCCCGTATTTGTGCGAGCCGCGGCCGCCCCGAAGTGTTTCTGCGTACTCGCATTTGCATGCGCCTTTTAGATATCCGAATATCCCAGTCGAAGTGAGGCTCGAAGCGGCCGAAATTTGATTTGCCCGAGTTTGCCCGACGTTTGCGAATACACGCGATTCAATATCCGTGCGGTGTGGCGTACACACTCATACATATTCATACCCCGCGCGCGCCCTTCGGCACCGCGTTGATCGTTTATATCCGACTTTTCGATTCATTCTCGGCCCCCGACAACGCGTCTCCCGCATTATCGAGCGTAGTGCGCGTCGCGATGAATGTTAATCGAATAAGTAGCATCGATGCCCGCCCGCTATCTTGCCTGACGTTCGCCTGACCCTCGTCGTTGGATTTTACGTTCGTGGTTTTTACGTATTTTACGTATTTTTTCTCTCCTTTTCGTCTGCGCAGCGTCGCATTATTCGCATGTGAAACGAATACATCGGAAATGACAGATGAATTTCCCTCGGAAAGACATCGATCTTCCGCGCAGTCAGAGCGGCAGGTTCTCGCGCGTGGCGAGTCGGGCATAGCTGAAAAATGCAAACAAGTTCAATCATTTGGAACGAAGTAAATTTACAAGGTAGTTCTTCTGGGTCGTTTCTTCTGGGAACTTGCGATGTCCGCATATACGAGGAATCATCGTCTAGACAGTCGTCGATATACAGGATGAGGCATCTGAAACAAACCAACTGAATTGACTTTGGAAATGTGCAAGATAAAATAAATGTTAAATACAGAAGTTGTAGGGTTTTAACCGACGCATCACATAACGATACTAGTCTGACCTTGAACAGCGTCATCAAGGTAACGGGAAGACACCTTGAATTTTTTAAATGGAAACTCCCATTTATTATTACATCATCCTTTTCTACCAATTAATCTGAACAACTTTTGTCTGAAACATTTGTTTAGTTGCCCGATATTTTTGGAGATATTTAAGGAAAACTTTTTCAATATTTGGCTTGCGACATCTCGGTAGCTATTTGTCGGAAGAAAAAGTGGTAAGGTCTCAATGGCCAGACACGTCCCACTGTCCGACCACTTTGAAAAAAAAATATCTATTTATTTATTTATTTTGACAATAATGAGTGAAAGTAATAATTATTGTTAAAAAACTCCAACATTTGATGATTAGTTGGAAAGAAAATATACCCAACTTGATACTTTTGTGTTAAAATAAAAATTAATTGAATAAATATGCACTTATGGTTTGGCAAAATAATAATCAATCGTTAATACATTTATTAAGAGATAGCATCTATCTATAATATTTTTATATTATTTTTCGTTAGCATATACTAATTTTCTAATTGCTGTCAGACACTGGGACAAATTATATCTAAACATTGGGCCATAACCTATTTCAATTGTCCAGTCACTGGTACATTAATGCGCTTCATTATTTATATAAATATTTCATTAATAATATATATAGACATTGGTTTAAATCATTTTTCTTTACTTTACTAAGGGAATTTTAAGTTTTCGTATAAATGCAAATATTTATATCAAAACTATGCTTGATATTGTATATTATATTTTTTGTGACAACTACGCTTAAACGTCCGGTTATTGGAATATTTACCTTACTAAACTTTTTTACTCTACGTTTCAAGAATATATGCTATTACAATAGCGTCCCAACTTTTGTTAACTTGATGATTTTGAAATTTCCAAAGGTGGGAAACCCCATTTTGGGATTTCCGTTTAAGAAAAGTGATGATCAGCGAATATCTCGAAATATCGGCGTCATCTGTGAACAAAATAACATCGCTGTCTTATGTCCCCCTTCAAGCCAATATAACTTTTGTCTAAAACATTTTTCCATTAGGCTACTTTTCGCGATATTAATCGGGCTGCATAATTAAAACGAAACACCCTGTGTGTTTAATGTAAGATAGTGATAATGTATGTTGGGTTGTCCGGAAAGTTCGTGTCGATTTTGAAGGAAAATTGAAACGCAGGAGATTTAAATTTTAATATACATTTATTAAATTGTATAGGTGCCATTCTGTTCTACAACCTTTCTCCATCTTTCAGGCAGTTTGAAAATTCCGTCCTTCCAGAATCTCTCAGGTTTTTCAGCGAAAAACTTTTCTACGTGATTTTTTATCTCGACCAAAGAGTTGAAGTTTTTTTCATTAAGGGAATTTTGTAATGATCGAAATAGGTGGAAATCAGAGGGCGCGAGGTCTGGTGAATATGGTGGATGGGGTAGAACATCCCAACCGAGCTCCAACAACTTTTGTCGAGTTATCAAAGACACATGAGGCCGTGCATTGTCCTGAAACACGACGCACTTCCGATTCGCTATTTCTGGACGTTTTTGTTCAATTGCTGTCTTTAATTCGTCTAATTGGGAACAATACTTCTCTGAATTTATCGTCTCGTTGTTTGGTAAAAGCTCATAATACAGGATCCTTTTCCAATCCCACCAGACACGGAGCATGGCCTTCTTTGGATGAAGA